TGTGTGATTGTGTTATAAAGCAGACAATTCCTCTTCCATTGCTTGTCACCACCTTGGAGAGGTAAAGGCTTCCTAGATAGTCTTGGGAGTGGAAACAAAGGAAAGCAAAGATATAAAATGGCAATGGGAAGCAGAAAGGTGAGCAATTGAAACATAATGAGAAATAAGATGAGATGTACAACTACGTTTACCATTCTGCTTGACGCTTCTTGCAATTTCTACAATGTGTCTATTCTTCCTTTTTGCTACACCATTCTGCTATGGAGTGTAAGAACAACTGCTTTGATGGATTACTCCATGCTCTAATAGATACGATGCTAGGTTTTTTTCAAAATATTCCTTGGCATTGTCCAACCTGAACACTTCCACTCGTACCCCAAATTGCGTTAGCACCATCTGATGAAATTGTCAAACCAAGGATGGCACCTCATCATGGGATCTCATCAAGTATATCCAAGAGTACCAAGAAAAATCAACCACAAATGGAAGAAAGTACCGACAGCCACCCATAGAAGAAACATGGTATGGTCCCCACACATCAGTATGAACAACATCAAAAGCAGAGGAACATCTTTTATTACTAGCCTTAAAGGAATGTCTACAATGTTTTCCAAGTTGACAACCTTCACACTCTAAACTAAACAAGTTAACAGACTCAAATAACTTTGGAAACAAGAAACGCAAAGAAGTAAAAGACAAATGCCCTAACCGATTATGCCTAAGCATAATCTGACCCACAGACTCTGACTCAAAATCCCTGCTGACATGATGACTCTGATGACTAGGAAGTGCATCAAGCAGGTAGATTCCATTCACCTAACGACCACTCCTAATTGTCCTCTTTGAATCCAGATCTTGCAAAACATAATGACTAGGAGAGAAATCCATTGAGCAATTCAAATTCTTTGTCAAACTACTAACAAATAAAGGTTAGTACTCAATCTAGGAACATGGAGAACAAAGGGTAGGGAAATGGTATCGGTTATCTTGACCTGTAGTAGAAACATTATCTCTGCCAGAGCAGAGGTTGTAAGAGGAGAAAATGGTGGAAATGTTGGTCATATGCTCTAAGGCTCCTAAATCTATAACCCAAGGAAGGTCCCTCCTTACCTGTAGTAGAAACATAGTTTGCAGTGGCATGTGAACTACCTGTATGTGCAAAAGAAGTAGAATGACCACCTCCTGATCCACTTGTACCTTGTTGTCCACCCAACAATGGGTTAGAGCTGACTTTATCTCATTGATTAAGTACCCATATCTCTCCAGTTCGGCCCTCACTACAGCTGTTGCAACAGACTCTAGGGAAGTTGTAGTAGGAGTTCCAAACAAGTCACCAGTTACTGCCATGTTCACATTTCCCTTTTTGTTTCTAAATCAGTTCGACGCAAGGTGAGGATGAAGCTTCCAGCAGGTATCTCTGGTATGTTTAGGCTTCTTACAGTAGTCACAGATCAGATCCTTCTTATCTTCCTTCCTGAGTTCATTTCCACCCCTATTCCTGCTCTGCTTAGGTTTCACTGTGCTAACCATAGCAGACTGCTCAAGACTTGGATTCCTCATCGTCACATTCCTCCTACTCTCCTCTCCTAATACAAAGGCACATGCCTGAGAGAGAGTAGCATTGTCTCTAGAAAGAATATGTTGTCGTGCAATGCCATACTCAGGGTTAAGTCCAACAAGAAACTCAAAAACCCAATTCTTCTCTAATAGTTTATGGTAGATTGTTGCATCCTTGCTACTTTCCCAAACCAATCTCCAAATGGTCTATCTCTTGCCATAAGGTTTTGAGGGCTGAAAAATAAATAGCAGCAAACTTATCTCCCTGTCTGATAACAATTACCCGGTTTCTCAACTGGTAGGCTCTAGCAACATTCTCACTCTGAGAATAGGTTTCTGCAACTCCATCCCAAATCTCCTTCGTTGTGATAGCCCATAAAAAGTTTTTACTTATATGGGGCAGCATGGAATTGCATAGCCAAGTCATTACCATATAGTTCTCCTGTACCCATCGGGAGTAGATTGTCTCGGGTTTCACTTCCTCACCGATGACATACCCCAACTTCCCACGAGCACCAATGGCCATCTTTGCAGATTGTGACCATTCTAATTAGTTTGTACCATCCAACTTAACTGTAGTAATGGTCACATCCCCGAAAAGGTCTCTAGCACCTCCTCTCCCTTGCCCATCTCACTCCCCGGTTTGTTTTGAACTCCGCGGCCCTCCATTATTCCCGTGAAAGGGTTAGAAAATCACTTTGAGATGAAAAAATAGGTATTTATCTCCTTCAGGCACCACAAACACCCTTCTGGTTGCCTAGAAGCTCCTCCCAACAAAGATTCCTTTTTCACGGGAGCAGGAGAAGACAGAGAAGAAGCAGTCGCTCCCTCCAGAGGCCTCCAAAAAAAGTGGGACTTGAACCACCCCCTTCAGAAAACTCCAAGGAACCCTAAAAAACTAGGGCGCCACTTCATAGGTAAAAAATGAAGAGTCCTACCAAAACAGGACTCTCTCCCCTTTCTCTAATTCTTCTTAATTTTGGTGAAAAACCCTAGACCAGCTACAAGGAGTTGCAGATCCACCAAAAACTCCAAAAACTGGGCTTACCTGAGGTCTTCGATCAGCCTTTCGCCTCACCATGCAGTCAACCGATCTAGAGCTGCATGATGGAGCAGCTCAAGTAGTCTTCGATCCGCTCTAATACCAAGTAGAAAAGCTTGGTAGTTGTTTTGATATAAACTTTATGAAAGAAGAAAGAAGAAAGAGCTGAAAAGTTTCATCTAGAAAGGAAGAGAAGAAGTAGAAGAGAATGACAGGAAGCCAAAAAGAATTAGTTCTGGCCACCCCCTTCCTTTTGATTTATATACTTCATAAACGGAATGTACAAGTACAAGAATGCCCTTAGTAGGTCAGATACTTGTAAGTAGCTGAAAAGAAACAACTTAACTTAACATAAACTAATGAGCCTAAGGCCCAATAACTTCCTAACTGAATTATGTAAATAAAAATAAACAAAGCTGGCCCAATAACTCAACGAGCATCATCATCATTCTTCCACTCAATACTTTGATAAAAATCCAGTTCCTTCCAAATTGAGGTAAGAGCTGAATAGTAAATAGACAAACTCCGTTCCCCCTGCTTGCAACTGATAAATCCTTGCGTAGTGCCTTTGCTCTAAATGTGTAGACTTTGTTAGTTTGCCTGTTCCCAGATTTCATGGGTTGCATCTACCCACATAAAATTCTTTTGGATAGATGGCAACATGTAGAAGTGAGGAGCTAAGACATGATCAAATAATTCTTCTGATCCCACTTATCAATTCAGCAGCCCTAGGCTTTGAATTCCTCCACTTTTGCAGTAATACGTCCAGCCTTACCTCTAGCCATGATGCACAGATTAATCTCCTTGGACCATGATAAATATTCAGGCCAAGTGGAATGATAGTCATGGGGAAACTCATTTGGTCCACTCCACCATTCAGCCCTCCTAGACGAGGTAAAACTTAATGCAGCAGTATCATCAGTTGCCATGGAAACAACACCTTAAAAAGGTATGTTCACAACACTAATAAGATTGATGGAAAAACACTACTGAAATATCAGCACCTTCTTAAGAGCCTAACAGCACCAAGTCCACTCACACAGAACACTCCTAGACCTTTTCAAATGCAATCCAGGCCACTCACAGTCCCAGACATAGACAACTCAAACCACACAATCACCAAACAATGGAACACCACTACTGTTACTGTAAAAACAGGTCATACAAGACCTAAAGAAAACACATACCTTGCTACAACTGGAACACACAATCCACACAAGTGGTTGGAAGGCTTCTAAACCCCTTCGCAGCATTCAGCCACCACTAACAATGAGTTTTCTTGGTGCTACAACCAAGAAGAAAAAAGATGAAAACATCAAAGGCTGTTTCAGACCAGGCCAATTAAAGTTTCTTGAGTTTCAATCCAAAAAAGGTAAGAAGGAAGAAGAAAACTCAATTGAACTGCTCTCAGATCCCAGAAAGATGCTCTAATACCATATTATTTTGAAGGAAACAAGAGAAAAGAGAAAAGAAAAGAGAAGAAGAGGCTTTGGGAGCCAAAAAGAAAGGCTGGTGGTGCCTTGTCTATTATTTATATTAGAGCAGCAATACAAATAAAAAAGGTAAAAGACTAAAGTGCCCTTGCAGCACATACTGTTAGATAAATACAACAGTGCAATTAGAAACAGTTTTGCCCTTGGGTGGACAGCTAAGTTTCTCCTCCAGAGGTTAAAACTTCATACAGGAACTTTTGATCTATGAGATTAATATAATTCATTGGGTTCACGGTTAAGAAAACCTATGAACAAACACCTGTGTGAGAACATTCTACTTTCATCTAAAAGGGGCTACGGCTTTGCAGTGAAAGCATAATACATCCTCAAAGACTAAAATGTCATTGCACTGGTTTTAACTTTTGGATGACATGCCTTGTCCACTTAAGGAGGATATCAGGATACATGACAGCCCTACCAATAAGTTCAATAACAAACCTATTGGTAGTGATCCTAATTGATAAAAAAAAAAGACTAGAACTTCACCAAACTTCTGTTAAACCTAGATTCTAATTCAGAATAGGAGTCACATGCAATTTACAGAGATGCACTTTGAAGCATGAAACAACAAAAGAATAAAGTGAAGCAAGCAAACAGGAAAGATTAATTAAAGAAATTAGACGCATATTATTTCTACAAAAAAAGTACCTTTCTGATAAAATCCCTAATAAGCAGACTGGAATTAGAGTCATAATTATAAGGTAAATTTATACTTTTCTAGTGTGCAATTTAGACATACTGTAGGGGCACCATGATCAAGATTCTTGGCATCCTATACATATTATTTAATATCAGGAAACAAATATCTACAATTCTACATAGTACAAATATACAACCTAAAACTCAATGCATGCAGTAAACCAAAACTGTAATGCACAAGAAACAGTAATTGAAGAAAGCAAGTTTACCTCTTTGATGAGAAAAGGTTTGGTGGATCACCTTGTCTCGGCCAAATTTGAGGCAAGGATGCATCCTTATGAGCAACATACCCAGAGAGAAAATAACTTGACGAGCACACAACTTGAATAGCGTTAAATTTCACTTCATTTGTTTTTTCCATTGCTGATCTTCCAATTGAATGACAAGCAACATAGAAATGGTCAGCCCCTCCAGTCCTATTCCAGTAAGGATAGGTATGGCTAATGTTGGAGATGTATGCCTTGATAAAATCTGGAATTCCCCCAACATCTACTCTTGGGTCATGCCGCAACCTTGCAATGGAGAAGGGCAAAAAGAAGAGATCCGCCTCTGAAGGGTCCTTTGTGATAAAGTGGCTTTTCATAAGAACTCTTTTGAAGTAACTTTCACTGGCATAATTACCCCCAGGTTCAAAATCCACTGGCAAGAGTGCATTTGCAAAGGGATCGTCTTCCCTGTGAGGATAAACATATATCTTAAAGCTTCTATTCATCTCTTCATAGTCTTCGAGAAAGATATCTTTGTCATGAAAGACCTCGTTATTCACAGGGTTTCCTGAGCCATGACAACCAAAAATTTCCAATTTCCAGGGTTAAGATTTAACCTTTGCATACGCTTAATTTAAGTTTTCATTTCCCATTAGAAGCTGCCTAACTTTGTCAAAAGCAGTTCAGCAGGAAGACCACCTGATGTTTCCCATGTTGGAGGTTCATACAGTGAAATATGAATAAGATTACTAATACAACGACTTTTTTATTCTATTCTATTTTCTTACCAAGGGACTGTTTACACACAGAGACAAGAAAAGAACAAAGAAAAAAATAGAACAAGAACAAGACAACTGTTGTAAGGGGTGCTTTTATGAATATTTCAAGCACCACTCTGTAATTATTTGTTTTATTAATATATTAAGGTGAAGTGGGATCTGTCACTAACCCATTCAACTTTTCCCTCATTCTGTTCATTGCCTTCTTCTCTTCTTCTTCTCTTCTTCTCTCTTCCTCTCTTCTCTTATATCCTAGAATATTCTATGACTGACATGGTATCAGAGAAATAATCTGTCATAGAATATTCTAGCTTTTCCCTTCTCTTTCCTTCTTCTTTAACACATCAGTTGGTTTCTCAAGAAGACATAGATTCTGACTGTTCCTGTGATCTGATTGCCACATCAAGCTTCTCATTTTCCCTTTCTTGGTCATTGGTTGTAGGACCAAGTGGTCTTCTCTGTTTCTAGGTTGATCCTCAAGTGACCAAAGAATGTAAGAGGACTAAAGAAGTTATATATTTTCTTTTCTTTTTTCTTTTTTGTATTTATGATCTGGACTGTGTTTATAGATTGGTTGATGGCTGTTATGCACAAGAAAGGGTGCTTTCTTAGCAGGTCTGAATTCTTTTTATGAGCCTATTAGGGTTTAGATTTTGGGTGATAAGGAGTTTCCAGGTCTTGAGGAAGTGTTTGCTTCAATGTTTTAAAATGCAGAGGCATGACACAAGGCACTCTACTACCTAGAGGCATGAGGCGTAGTTCAGAACGTAAGAGGCATAAGCCTCCCGAACACAAGGAAGCATAAACCTCCTTAAGAGGAGGGGGATGAGGAGGAAAGAGGAGGAAGGAAGAAGAGGAAGGAAGATCTCATTTAAGATTATTTTTAATAAAAATCTTTTATATTAAGAAGAATGAAGCATAGCACTAGTTGAAAGGGGGGGGGTCTTCCCTTCACTTCCCTTTTCTTTTCTTTCTTTTTCTCTTTTTTTCTTCTCTTTCTTTTTCTTTCCCTTCTCTTTCTTTTCCATTCCTTTTTCTCTTTTTTTCTTTTTTTCTTTTTTTTTTCTTTTATTTTCGTCTTTTTACATGAAATGTGCATGAGGCACATGAGGCGTACGCCTCAAAGGTATCAACAACACCTCTAGCATATGCCTCGGAGCATTTTGGGGGCATACGCCTCCCACACCTTTTAAAACACTGGCTTACTTTGGTGCAATCTATGGAAACTAGGAGGGCTTCTATGAATCCTCCTAGGGGAGAGCAAGTGGCTTTGTTGTCTAAGGGTGACAGCAAGAGTGAGATACAGAAGAAAGGAGGAGGTGACAAAGACAAGTTTTGGTGTTCTCATTGTAAGAGATCTGGGCACACAAAGGAGTTTTGTTGGGATTTGGTTGGCAAACTTAAGAAGTTTCAAGGGAAGCAAAACAAAGGACCTAACAAGGTTAATGTTGCTTCTTCCGCTACTAGCCAAGACAGTCAACAGTCTAGTTAGGGCAACACTGCTCGAATTCAACCCCTGGTCTTTGTACCTGTTGAAAGGTTATTATTCTGTAAGTTTAGTACCACAGGGGTACTTTGGTACTTTCAGCACCTTTTATTTTAAGTTGTGTCGCCCTAGTATAAATAATAAAAAGCTGGCACCGCCAGCCTCTTTTGAGTGTCTGAATCTCTCTCTTTCTGCTCTCTTCTCTCTTCCTTCTTCCTACTTCTCTTCTGGATAACATGGTATCAGAGCGGGACTGTCAGATCTGAAAGAAGAGATCGAGCAAACCTTTTCTGTCTTCTCCCTTCGCCAGCTATAGTGAAATTTATTGAAGATCCAGATCCAGATTCAGATCGGACTAAGTACTCTCTCTCCCTATCTCTTTTTTTTTATTTTTTTCTAGTCGTGTGCCAGAACAAAACCATTAATAGGTTCAGTTTGTTAATGTGAGGTGAACAGCACCCTCTTCTTTCCTTTTTTGTGGGATCGACTGATCCCTGTAACAGACTGTAGGTTGGTGATGACCTTTATATGCTGCGACAGCAGCCTTCTGGTGAATTTGTAGGTCAGGGGATGACCGGTATATGCTGCGACAGCAGCCACACTTGATTTGTAGGTCAAGAGAGGACCTGTACATGCTACTACAGAAGCCATACCTGATTTATGGTAGGCCAGTGATGACCTGTGAGTTCTGTAACAGCAGCTGATTTTTGTTTGAAGAACTGAGATTTAAAAGAAGGGAAAGGAGGGGAGTGGTTGTCTCTAATTCCCTGGTGCAAAGGTTTTTATTGGGGTGTTCGGCTGCTTCTTTTTGGTCCTTTTGTGTTCAGTTGGAGTGTAACCTGAAGTTGTGATTATGAGTGGTGAAGACTGCCATATCTGGAGTCTCCTCAATGCAGAACGGAATAAATGGAGATATAGATTTATCCTTCCCTATGGCTGTTATACCCCTAGATGGTTTGAATTATTTAGAATGGTCAAGGGGGATCAAGTTATACATAACAAGGGGAAAAATAGGGTATATAAATGGGAGAATTAAATAACCGAATTCCGGGAGTGCTGAGTATGACAGATGGAACCAGGAAAACAGCACGGTTATGTCCTGGCTTTTGGTGTCTATGCAACCTCAGGTGAGAAGGAACTTTATGTGGGCTGAAACGGCTTATGAGATTTGGAAGCAGGCAAAATCGACCTATTCTGAACTGCATCACTATGCAAAAATCTATCAGTTACAGGCAGAAGCATCCACTTGTAAACAGGGGGAGAGGAACCTTTCTGCGTACTATTCAGATTTGACCTCCATCTGGAAGGAGTTAGAACACTATCAGAGTGTAGACTGGAAGTGTGATGAAAATGCAAAAGCATACAAGAAGCTTGTTTCCCAACAAAGAGTGTTTGCATTTCTCCATGGTTTGAATCCATCAGAGTCCATATCCTAGGCAGCAAGGATCTTCCATCTGTCCAAGAGGTTTATGCAATAGTATAGTCGGAAGAAAGTTGAAGAAATTTAATGAACAGCTCCGGAGGGGATGCAATTGTGTTGGCAACAAAAGGGAATGTTACTACAGGTGGGGGAAATTTTTTTTAAGAAGGGGGACCCTCAAAAAAGGGTGGAAGACAAAGACAAACTATGGTGCACCCATTGCCAGAAACCCTTACATACCCGAGAAACATGCAGGGATCTTCATGGGAAGCCTAAATGGGCCCAGGAATTAAGCAAGAAGCAAGGTTCAAGTCTGAATAAGAAGTCAGGACAGCAAGGTCCAAGAAAGTTCACCACAGCAAATATGGCTTCTCCGGAGAATCAGCCCCCTACTACTACTATGACTTAGACACACTTTTGGTTCTAACCCGAGGGAGGATATTATTAATTCCTTCCGTGACCATTTGGAACTCTATGGTAGAGCAATTCGTCAAATGGATTTTTCCCCTCCTTCAACTTCATTTGCATCTACATCAAGTAACTCTGCCACAGCTTTCCATGTATCGTCTCATCCCCCTGACTCTCCTTGGGTAATTAATTCTGGAGCGTCAAAGCATATGACTGGTAAGTCCACTTATTTCCAGACCTACCACCTCCTCTCTGGAAGAGACAAGGTGAAACTAGCTGATGGTTCATATTCTACCATAGCTGGTCAAGGAACCATTTCTCTTCCCTTTGGCCTCACCCTGACTAATGTCTTACATGTTCCAAAATTCCTTATTAATTTGTTGTCTATTAGTAGTATCACTAATTCTTCAAACTGCTCAGTAACTTTTTTTTCCTTCTTATTGTGTACTCCAGGATATGACCTCGGGGAAGATGATTGGTAGAGAACGTATGGTGGATGGACTCTACATCCTGGAGAATAAGGCTGATCTTACAGTCACAAATTATAAGAGTCAGTCTAGTACAAGTCAAGTCTATTTATGGCACAGTCGTCTCAATCATTTGTCTTTTGAGTCTTTCAAATTGGTGTTTCTAGAGTTATTTAAGTCAGTGTCAGTGTCACAGTTTACATGTCAAACTTGTCAATTAAGCATTGTAGAACTCATTTTTCTTCAAAGAATAATAAATCTGGATTTCCTTTCCATATTATTCATTTTGATGTTTGGGGCCCTATTACTTTACCATCCGAGAGTGGCTACAAATATTTTATTAACTTTATTGATGATTTACTCCAGATACACATGGATATATCCCATGCGAACCAAGGATGAAGTACCAAAAATTATCCAAGATTTCCACCGAATGATCTTCACCCAATTTCAAACTGAGATCCAAATTTTCCAATCCGATAATGCCAAAGAATATTTTCATAATGATCTCACGGAATTCTTTGCTTCGCATGGATCACTTCACCGTAGCTCCTATGCCCAAACACCACAACAAAATGGTGTTGTTGAAAGAAATAACCGACATCTTCTTGAAGTGGCCAGGGGTTTACTCATTCATATGAATGTCCCAAAACACTTTTGGCTTGAGGCGGTCCTTTGTGCTACCTATCTCATTAACTGTATGCCCTCTCGCTGGTTAGAGTGCAAAGCCCCACACAACTTCTTTTTCCCAAGGCTCCTCTTCTTTCTATTCCTCGTCGTGTGTTTGGTTGTCGTTGCTTTGTTCAAAATTTGGCGCCCACCCGTGGGAAATTGGATCCTCATGCCATTCCTTGCATCTTTTTGGGATACTCCCTCACTCAAAAGGGGTACCGATGCTTTGATCCTGTCTCCCAGAGATTATATTTCTATGGATGTCTTTCTTTGAGAGTGAGCCTTTCTTCCCTATTTCTCCTCAGGGGGAGTGTAGAAATGAGGAGAAACTGGTTC